GTGATTGGCCTGGCCAGTCAGCTTGCTCTGGGGGCCCTCTGTCCCTTACTTCATGAGTGCTGTGATTATAGGTAGCTGACCTGTGTGCCCGATACTTATGTTGGTGCTGGGGATCTGAACTTTAGTCTTTGTATTGTGTAGCGAGTGTTTTATCCATGGAACCATTGTCCAGCCTCTACTCTCTTTGTCTTGAGAAGTCATGGCAGCAGCCTTCAGCCTCCTCCACCCTTGCTTTATTGTAGGTTTCCTCCCATGGAAACACATGCTGTATCAGTTGTGTTCCCATGTCCCTGTGGTCTCTGGGGCTTACCAGGGACCCCAGCCGATCCCAAAGTAGCCTTGGGCATTGTCATAGTTACTCTATGTTTCTCATTTCCTTCCAGAATATTATTCATTTCATAGGGACTTAGAATTCTTAGCTCTCACAGTTTTGGTAGAGCTGTCCCCATACCTTACTACAGCTTCAGGGTGGGCACAGCATCCCACACTTTCCATTAGAGTCAATGGTCATTGGCTCAGAGGACAGCACAATACTGGGAAGCCAATTGGAGTTTGCAGTAATTTTCCAGTGCTTGGGAAAAGACACACGATTCTAGGCAGGCCAATCAGAGCTTGCCCTGAAACATTTTGATGAAATAATTAAGGAGACAGGGTTAAAGATGTTAGTGTTGGCCATCGTTTTTTGGTTGTTGGCATTGGGTGAGGTGCATACCCCATTGACTTTAGTCCTTCTGAGTGCTGTACCTGGTCATAAGTCTGTCTATGTTGATGAAAGAAAAGAAACTCAAGGCTCAGAGAGGTGGTGGCTCTAGAGATGGCCCAGATACTGTTTTGCAAAGCTGGGATATGATTTTAAATCTGTCTGCCTTTCTGTGGCATTCATATATATTTAGTAAGGGACACTATGTCCCAGGGTGACCACACATCATTGTACAAATGGGAAAGGTAGGGGCCATGCACACATAGAGTCCTCAGTAGCTGCTTCTGAAATCTTAAGGACCCTCCCAGACTGGCTCAGGGCATCTCTAGACATAGGTTCTGAGATGTAAGTGGGGCTCCTCCATGCTGTTCATATCATGGTAATTTGCGAGAGTGAGAAACTAGAGCCTGTCTAAATGTCCTCTAATGAGAAGATGATTAAGTAAATTATGCAGCCAAAGATGCTTACAATGAGTTTGTAATAACACAGAGGGAGCGTCTAGCATATTAAGTGGGAAAAACAAGGTAGAAATTATCTTGGGAGGCTGATCTCAATCATGGAAAATTACAGATGGAAAGACAGACATACTCTGAAAGGCTGTAATACGCAGTCTTCAATGCTTCCCCCCGGGTCGTGAGCTAGATCCTTGCTTTTTAGTCTTCATCTCTGAATTTTCCAAAATGGGAAAGCACTGTGTTTAGAATCGATAGAAAAGAAAACCTGTTATTAACAATTCTGGTAGGGGAAATGTCAACAGGCTCTTGTCTCCCAGCAGAGCTGTGCAGTCAAGCCTCGGCTCTGAGACAGGCACTCCAGCCCACAGAGCAGGCTCCTGCGTGTCTCTTCCCCCTTGCCACCTTATCCTGTGTGTGCGACCCTTCTGACCCCGGTATGAAGCAAACTCTTCTTGTACCTTTACTTTTTCTTCCATTTGATTTGCACTATTTTTGGTGTCATGCATTCAAAAGAATGAGAAAAAAAAACAAAAAACACCTGTGACTATTCCACAGAGAAAAGTAGCAACGACTTCCCACACAGCCACCATCCCTGTGGGAAATAGAATGCTCTAGAAGTGTAGAATCCTCTAAATCTCCTTTCCTGATTCCATTTCCCTCCTTCCCTGTCTCTACTCTGCCCCAGCTCTCACATTTGTGAGGCTTTGGGCAAAAGTATCAAAAGTATAAACACAGACCCGCCTACTATACTTTCAGATATTTATGAATTACAATTCAAGGTAAAAAACTGTTTCCATTCTTCCTGTCTTGACAAATATACCTTTGTAAGAACAGTGTGGAAAAATGTACAGGTTATCCTTTTGATAACTGAAAGCTGGCAAAATATCTAAGCAAATGCAATTTAATTATTATTGCATTTGCCTGTGTGCGCTGTTGACAGACCAAGATGAATGATAAAACAAAAAATGCCTAATTTACAAATTATTGTATGTGTATTACAGTTTATTTTTCTTCCCCAAATTCTAATGATATCACTAATTAAACTATTATAATTAAGTTTTTACATAATTGCCTTTCATTGACTATAGGGACACATCACACACTCTCTCCCCGAGTCACTGTGGTTCTGAGACAGTTTCAAAAGTTCACCTTGGGGCTGAAAAGATGACTTAAGGGTTAAGAGACAGGACATTCTGGCCACACTCATTCAATGACATGTAGAGAACGGCAGGGGTTGGATGTGGCCCACAGACTGTTTTTGTCAATAGAGCTTTATTGGAATATTTCCATGTTAATGCATTTATGATTCATGGACACCATACTCACCTTACAATGACAAAGTTGTGTAGTATGGTAGAGACTATGGGACCTATGTGAAATGGGTATAGCTTCCTATCTGTGTACAGTTGCGTCCTTGCTGTGTGACAGGGTCACAGACTCAGCCTCTCTGAGTCCCAGTGGGGACGTGAAGGGATTTGTTTGCTGCCTCACAAGCCTGGTTCAACACTTTCTACCTTTTCACACTCCAGAACCCAAGAGACCCTGTGGTGGCCAGCCTGGGGTGGGTTGTTCACATCAGTGTGAGAGACCTCAGTGGGGCATTGCAGCTAGTTTCCTGCCCGTAGCAGCGCGAATGGCACCCCCCCCCACTCAGAATGGTGTCCCAGGGACCCAAGGATAGTGAAGAACTGTGTCTGGGAGCCCAGTCCTCCCTCCACTACAGCCTCTCTCCTCACTTCCTAGAATAACCAGCACTGAGAGTTCTCTTTCCCACCGTGAGGACTGTCCCTGTGGGCTGTACACTGTGAAATAGACTTTTCTAGAATAGCAGGTGTCTGGGAGTGGGGGGAGTCTCCCAAGGGGGCAGAGTCTATCTGGAGTGACCAACAGAGCAAACATCTAGACAGAGGATTCTGAGAACTTTCTAAGATGCCAGACACTGTCTCCGTGGGATGCTGACCAGCGGCCACAGCCTCCAGACTCACAGCTATTGGCTCCCTACTGTGTGTGTGTGTGTGTGTGTGTGTGTGTGTGCGCGCGCGCGCGCGCTTTGTTCTTCCTTGTTCCAGCCTTTCACAGCTCCTGATTGCATATGTAAATATGCTGTGGTTATTTTCTGCTCTCCCATCTTCCTGTGGCTTTAATTTTCTTATTCTTTTCTTCCAAAGAAGACTGAAAGTCAGTTTCAGTGAAGAAATTCCTCACGAAGGGAATGCTATCATGTTTGGTATTTGAGCCACCTCCAGTCAATTAGGGATCAACAGGATTAATTATCCTCCTTGGCTGTAAACAGAAAATGGGGACCTAGAGAATTGGGTATCCTTAACCCTCAGCGGGGAGAGACAGGGCTTTGACAGGCATAGGTGGCCCAGATCCAGGAGCAGTGTGGTACCAGCTCAGTGCTAAGTGGCCTAGGGAGATCTCCAACTAATCTGCAAAGGACTCTCAAAACTCTACCATCACAATAAGGTGTGTGTGTGTGTGTGTGTGTGTGTGTGTGTGTAAGTCAGAAGCTGATTTTGGGTGTCTTCCTTAATTCCCTGTCACTATATTTTTTGAGACAGCCTCTCACTGCTCCAGTGACAATAAATTTGATGAGACTGGCTGGCCAGTGAACCCCAGACACCATCCTGTTTCCACCTTTCCAGGGCTGGAATTACAGCCGCAAACCCCAGCTTTTATGTGTGGATATTGGAGTCTAAACTCAGGTCCTCATGCTTAAGGGTCAAGTGTTTGACTAACTCAGCCATCTCTTCAACTCCAGAATAAATACTTTTCAATGCAATAATTTTAAATATCAAAATGAATACCCAAGTCCATGATGAACTAAATATCTAAGTTCAAATACAAACAGACTGTGCTATGCTATTGTCTATCAGGCAGCAGGGGTACAGTTTCTGATGATCTAAGCTCCCAGGGCACACCTACCCCATGCAGGTCTCTAATGGCTGACCACAGACTGATGGTAGATGCTTGGCCAGAATAGGGTTGGCCAGCAGCTGCCTTCATCATGCTCCTTCTGCTTTGTGTTTGGGTCCCAGTCATCTCCAGGTGTGGTGTGAGCCATCTCCCTCTGGTGTTAGACTTTTCTAGGACAGATGTCTGCTGGCAGTGCCCACTTGCATACCTAGGTTCTAGGTATAGGTCCCAGACAGAAATGTACTCTCCTACAAAACCATGTGTCCCAGCTCAGGCATGGCCCTCTCGCCATGGCTGCCAGGCTTTCAGAGCCGGGCTTGTTGTGGGTGAATGCCCCCAAGTGCTGAGGTCTATGGTAAGGACTATTTCTGAGGGCATGCTCCAGCATCAGGCCTTTCTAAGACAGCTTGGAGACCTTTGTTCTTGTGATCCATTGAGTGGGGAGGTTTCTAAAGGGGCAGCTCATTTGATGCATACTCAGAAAAATGTAAAGCTGCAGGACTCTGGGTGGCAAGGACTGTTCCTCCGAACCCCTTGCATCTCTAATGGAAAGTCTGAGTGAGAATGGGAACAGACACCCCCCACTGGAGCTGTTAAAAAAGATACTCATTCTGTGAACAGCCCTAGACCTGTATGATTGAAATGAATCGGGGTACCTCAGAGCTGCCTTTAGCTGATGCCCCTGGAGTTAGGCAAGGAGGGCACTCCCTCTACCCTCTGACTCTGGCCACCGGGCACCAAGAGCTCGCCATCTACCATGATGCCCCAGAGCTCTGCCTTGATTTTCTCATTTAATTGTGCAAAATGGCCAAGTATATTTTATGGCCATAGCCTTGGGAACTCAGAGGGGCTTGTCCAGGGCACAAGGTGATAAGTGCCAGGATACTTTGGACCCATGTCTTCTGCATTTCATGTTCCAGACCATGAACAGCCTCTCCCTGGAAGTGATGCTGAAGGAGGCATCTTGGGAGCAAGCACACCCTAAAAGTAAAGCCCTGCTGCCATTTATTTTCTCAACACCACCCAGGAACATTCTGGAACATTCTCTGTAGATGCCAACAGGTAAGATGGGGGCTGCAAAGTTGTCGGTTCTCTGTCCTTCCTGTGTCATAGTTTCTCGAGTGCATTTGGGAGCAGTACAGATCCTGTCTTGTAGGGTGTCATGACCCTTGCATCACCTGAGGTAATCTCTGGGTCCATGCCTGGGCCTCCTGAGAGCTCAGTAAGGGAGAGCTACTGTGACGCCCTATTCATTTATGGTGTTCCTAAACGAAGTGGCTGAGTCCTCCTAGAACCCAGAACTGTAAAATCATCCGTCAGTCAGTTTCTTTTTGATTGGAGACAACTAAAATATAGAAAGTTTTTCCTCTTTTGCCCTGGCTGCCAATAAGCTCAGCACTAGATTTTGGCAATCTTGGCGATGCTATTGTGGCATTTGGGTTTTGGAGCTTCAGAAAATTTCCACAAAGACTCGTTCTGTGTAATGCTCTGCTCTGAACCCCTTTCCCTAAGTCCCTGTTTCCTGTTTCCTGTTACTTAGTCCTGATAGCATGCAGTGATGACCGAATAGGCGTGTGGCCATTGAGAGGTGGAGCTGTGGTGGAGAGGAGACAGGCGTGGCCAAGGCACTGCGGTGGCCTTGCGCTCATCTTTACCCACCTCTAAATCAACTTTAGAGGTCTCTGAAGTAGCAGGAAGAGAGAAAAGGCTTAAGAAGACAAAGTGTATTACAGGAAAGCCGTGGTTTCATGGCTGTTTGTCACCGTGAGTGCAATGCATTAACAGAGGGCTGTAATAAGAAGAGCTACTAAAAAATGATTTATTGATACTTTAGTCCTGTTAAAACAGGTTAATGCCAATACAATTAGCTTCAGATCAAGGAAATCCCTTCAGAGCAAAGTTGAAAAAACAGCATTCGATGCTATTCCATCCTGACTGGGGAAGGGCTGGGACTTTGCCTCAGTGAGGAGAGGGTTTGGGGATGGTGTTGCCACAGCCCCTCCCTCACCGTAGCCTGAGAAGAGGGCCCCCACTGCCTGGACTCCATGACTGGAGCCCGAGAGTCCAAGCCAGTTCTAAGAAATGGTCAGTTTATCTGGAAGGCACGCAGGCTTGGCTATTTCATGGATGGGCGATTCCTGAGTAATTGGGGCACTATTGAACCATTGTTATGTTGGGAAAATGGACAAAGGAGAGACGGTGAGTCCCAGGAGACTGTTGGGAGGATGAGGATGTTCTCTGCAGTGAGCAGAGCTCAGGAGGATGAAACTACACGCGCAGAGCAGGGCCTGGCCTTGGCCACATCTCTGACCCGTGAGCTTGACCTTTTCCTGCTTACCATGACTGTGTAGTGAGTATTGCCTGTGACCTCTGCCAGTGCAGGGGGGTCCTGGGCACCTACTCATCTCCCTGACCTAACTCCTGCACACTGGGGAGCTAATTCAACCTTCAATGTCCTCTGGCTGCTTATCAGTGTGAGCTAGATTACACTTGCTGTCCCTATCTCTATCTTCAGGGTCCTGGAGAGATCTTATCACTGGGAACAGCCCCCCCTCCAAGGCTGATTGCAGGTTGACCTGCCTAGGACTTATGTGGTTGGCACAATCAGAACCCTTGAAGATGTTTCCATTCTAATCCGCTAAACCAAGGGATGAGGGTTCTTATTGCCTTAATTGTCATCTTGTCATAACCTCAAGCCATCTGAGCATGAGCCAGTGAGTGAAACAGAGAAAGCTGGCCAGCAAGACGTGTTCTCCATGGTTCCCACCTTGAGTTCCTGCCCTGACTTCCTTCAATCACGAATCATGACTTGGAAATATAAATCAAATAAAGTCTTTTCTTGACTGAGTAACTGTTGGTCACAGTGTTCGTTATAGCAATAGGAAAGTTGACACACATGGAGAAAAGGTCTCTGGGGATGTGGCTAACTAAGAGTATTGGGGCAGAGACCATTTTGGAGGTATTGAATGAGTTGCCCTAATCTTCAGAGTTCTCAAGATGAAAGAGGGAGTTCAGGACTGAGAATCAGAGCCATGCAGGTATGTAAGATGCCAGCGGTTGAGGCTGGCTCTGAAGTGGGGGGGGGAGGGGATGATGAGCCCAGGAATGCAGGCACCTCTAGAAGCAGGAAGAGGAGTGTGTTTCTTGGAACCTCAGAAAGAGTACAACCCTGTCAGTGATGCCCTCCATTTCAGCTTAAAGAGTCCTACTCAGCTTTGGGTCTCTCTGTGGGTGGGAGCCAAGGGTCCCTGGGATCCCAAGCTAGGCAAAGGAGGGAAAGGCAGAGGTGGGAGGAAGACATGAGTGAGTGCTGTGCTTGGTGAGGCTGTAAGTGGGGAGCATGGCAGGGGCAGCGATGTTTCTGCCCCATGGTGGGTCCAGAAAACTTTCTACTATGCCATCTCCTGGGCAAAGTGATGATGTCTTAAGTCTCAGCAAGAAGGGGGACTTTGTGGTTGGGTGGGGCTTTCCTAGACATCCCCTGCCCCTTAATGGGATATCAAAACTTCAAGAATCTGCAAGACCCTGACCTTGGAATTCACTGGCCAATCTTCTGCCCAGTGGGGGGGGGGGGAAACTGAGTCCCTTATCAATGAACTAAGAGTGGAGACCAGACCCCTGGCTCTTGGGTCTGGCTGTCTCCCACCTCATGTCACATGGTCTTATGGAATCTTCATGAGGAACCTCAGATAGGATTGAGACACAAGTGCCCTGGGTTCATGAGGAAGCTTGTTGGTCCTAAGCTCACTCTCCAGGAAACCTGGCCCTCATCTCTCTCCAGATGGCTTCCTCTGCTTTGCCGAGGAGTCTCTAGGGTACAACTGTGTAAGGTCTATCCTGGTGCTTTCTCTGGCTTTTTTTTTTTGTCCTCAACTACACAGTACCATATCCCATAGTCCAGGTGGACTCTGTTGCTGCTTGTCAATTCCAAGTTCTCAGGAGAGGGGCACAGCTCAGGCCACACCCACTCCTGATCCTACTAGTCTTCTCTAGAAGGAAGTCATGTTGGCTACCAGTGGATAGAAATGGTGGTTACTAATCCAAGGGCTGCAGAGTCCTTGCAAGCCAACTTGCTTGTGTTGGGGGCAGGGGAACAACAGGTACTTGTGAATCAGTGGCAGAGTAGAGAGAAGCCCCCTCAGTAGCCCAGACAACCAACTTCACAGGGTCCCTCTCACTTTCCACTGAAGGATGGGCAGTCCCACTGAGCATATTTCTCGAAGAAATGCCTCTGTATTTCCTTAGTGTGGTGGCCATGCTGCCACATGACATGGAATCTGGACACTGTGGCCAGTTTCCTGCAGGTTCCTGAACCCCAGCACACCAGTTCCTGTGCTTACTGGGTCTGACTTGTTCCATCCTGTTCCCAGCAGAGACGTACGTGGAGAAAAATGTCTCCTTAGCCCTGGGACATGGTGACGTACTGGGGAAGCTGCTTGTTTTCCATGTGGCTAAAAAGTGAGGCTCTTTCTGTTCCTGGGGCCTGTTGTGCTGGGTTCTCTGAGGACATCTGCCTCTTTCTCCAGGAAATGACACTTCACAGCACTTTGTGAACCTTCTCCTTTCTCATCTAGGTCCTTAATAGCCTTGCCTGCACCAAAGGCCTTGATGCGAACAAACAGCTATTGCTGTCACCTTGGACGACTCATCCTTCCAGCAGATTTCAGGCATTTCCTTGACAGTGGCTTCAAGAATCTCATGTTAGCAAGTAATGCCCGGCTTTGTGGGAGACATGGAGACCCTCAAATGAAGATGCATTTCTAGGAGCTGACTGAGGTAGAGCACCGGGTATGGAGAAACTCAGAACCAGAACCTGAAGCCCAGAAGGTCACTTCTAAGTCTGGACACACCTGGGCTGGGTAACTTGTCTCACACCATGTGCATGTAGACTCTAGAGCATGGGACTTAGCTGAGAGAGAGACTAAGAGCACATGGAGTGTCCTCTAGGGACACAGTGTGATGTCTCTCCAATGTGCAGAGAGATCATCATGTGTTTGCCTGGAATAGATGTGCTTTGCAGCATGTAGGACAGGGGGGAAAGACAACATGTCTGCCAGGAGGAGGCAGATTAGTATGATTGACATTCAGCTCTGTTGGATGCTCCCATCCTCACACTGCCATATGCATTGTGTGTCAAGGTGATTGATGGTCCCTGAGGTTACCATGGATTTAAGGGTGTGGTACTTGGTCCTGAAGCCAAGCAATGACCTTTTCTCATTATCTGAGCATCATGGATGAAGTTGGGACTCCACTGCTTTCACAGGGCTTCCTTGAGACATCAGTGGCCTCCTGAACCCAGAGGCATAGGCAACTGGTTTTTAGTTCCTGTAATCCATTCTGGAGGATTTATCACTGACTCCCTAGGCAATCGCCATGGAGGCAAAGGGTGGCTGAATGCAAAGGTACTCAGTGATGACCAAGAACTTCAACACACAGGTTTGTGTTTCTTCTAAGAAGCCCCATGTAGGACAGCTAGAGGGCCAATACTGAAGCTGGGAAGTAACACGGTATGACCAACCTGGTCTGCTGACTGTGGAGAGAACCAGGAACTGCTGGACCTGGTGAGTAGCAGGGCCATCAGGATTACAGGGGAAGGAAAGCACCCTGCCTGGTACCCCAAACATTTCCTATAGACCCATTTCCCATTTTTCTGTCCGTCCATCCATCCATCCATCCGTCCATATATCCATCCATCCACCCATCTATCCATCCACCCATGAACCATTCATTCTTTCTCCATCCATCCATCCATCCATCCATCCATCCATCCATCCATCCATCCATCCATCCTCCACCATTTATCCATCCATCTATCCACCCATGATCCATCCAGCCATCCATCCATCCTTTCCTCTTCTCACTCATCCATTCTCTCATCTGTTGCCTCATCTGTCTATCTACCCTTCCACCCATTTATCTATTCACCCATCCTGCCTACTGTCCATTTGTCCCCCACATTCATCTCTTCTTCCACCACTGGAAACAACCTGGGTCTCAGGACAGAATAGCTGCACCCACCACTGACCAAGTTCTTAATTGTTTGCCTAGCAGATCATCTTCTTGGCAGAGTCCTTGCTTGGTAAGGCTGCATTTTCCTGATGTCAAGGAGGTCTTGGACCACAAATCTGCACAGCCAGAGTCTATAAGCCCAGTGAGGGAGACTGGGGGTGCTGGCTTTATTATAGCAATGCTGATTGTGAAGCTGGATAATACCCTGGTTGGGCTGCAGCATTGCTCTCTGGAGACTCCAGAGTCTTTGCCCTTATGGCCCCTGATGACCTTTCACAAATCCCCTTCTTTGTGGAGCTTAACCCAGACTCTGTTGTTCCCTGTTGTGTTGAGCTGCACATCCTAGGAACCTCTGCACTGGTGTTGAGCAGCTTGCAACTTATGACAAACGGAGGAAAATGGTGGTACCCAGGAGAGGAAGCAAGCACATAGGGATGCCCCAGGGGACTCAGTGATTGTGAGGACACAATGAGAAGGGCCCTGGGAAGGCAGAGGTGGTGGGAATCCCCCTGATTAGGAGGGGAGGGGAGACTGGGAGCAGAGAGGATACTGGGAGAAGTTGTTTCAATTCAGGGATTTACAGGGAAATGGGCAAGAACTATCTGGGAATGTTAGCTGACCATAGGAGTTGATTCCTGAAGCTAACCTAATATTCCAGGGGTGACCCTACCATTCAGCCTACACACCCAACAGGCTTTTGAGGGGCTTAGTGTTCTGTGCTCACTGGCCCAGGTGGTCCCATCTTATACCAAGCAAACAAAAGACAGTGACCAGGAACATGACGCTGACCCTGGAAGCCTGGTTGAGCAGAGGCCAGACACCCCTCCAGCATGCATGGGTCTAAGTAGGTTTAGGTCTGGGAGACACCAGCTGTGGAGGAGTAGAACGATTTGTTCTGATGTCCCTTGTCCCTGGTGATACACAGTAAGATGTGTGAAAGCATGGCCTGGCTCCCCAGGCTGCTGAGTTTCTACTTAGAAAAGAAGCTGCCCAGTAGGTCCCTATGGCTATGTAGCCATACCTTGCTGTCCTTATGGGGGAGAGCCTGGCCACGGACGAAAATCATCAAGCAAGTCTCTCTGTGCCTCCTGCAGGCGAGTGCTCTGACAATAGCAGTGACTGACTTAAGTAAATGTGTCACTTGTGTGCTGGCAGTGACACATGAGAGCAATTTTAATACAGAACACAGAGGTAAATGTGAGTGCTGCCTTCCCCATTAATTCTTATTATTGATACCAGTGACTCTGTCTCCATCTTCTGCTCTAGAATTTACCAGAGCTGTGTCCCTCCCTCCCTCTCTCCCTACATTCTCCCCTTTCTCCCTCTCCCCCTTCTTTCCATCACCCTTCCTTTACTTGCTTCCTTCTCCTTGACATAGTCTCGTTATGTGGCCCAGGCTGCAGTTACACTCTTCCAACCCCAGGAAAATACCTTGACCATGTGGCTCCTGCTGGGTCTCAGGATCAGGTGCCTTCAGCAGGGGTTCAGGCTGCTATGGAGAAGGCCCTACTGTCAGGGGACAGAGGTATGGTCCTCACACTGCTCACGGTTAGATGTGGCCCGTGTGAAGGGAAGCTGGGGACCCAGCTGTGCAGGGGCTCAGGTACCATGGGATTCTCCTCATGTGCCTTTGGCAGCCTCGATCTTAATATGAATGAAAACCCCAGAGCTCAGGAGGGTTCTGTTCAGGAAGGTTAACTTTTAGGACAATAGATACGGCCACAGGGTGAAGAGGGATGACCAGACAGTTGAAGGTCAGGAAATGTGAGCCCCATAGCAGCTCCAGGAGGCAGGAGATGCAGGTAGAAGCAGAGAGAGAGATTGATACCTCCCCCAAGCTGGCGGGGTTGGGATGCTGCCTTAGCAGAGGGTGTGACACCTGGGCTGATCCGTCACTCAAATAATAGGTGCGGTAGGTACTAAGTACAACTTCCCCTTTCCTTAAGCCCAGGGATGGCTGTTGTTCTGTTTTCTCAGGGACACTTTCAGAAATGCTTTCCACCTAAGCTCTAAGCCCTCTCTGGGTCCAGAGAGTGGCACAGCCCAGCTCTGTAGAAGTGCGCTTGCAGGTGGAGTGAATGGCAGCTGCCTAAGTGCTCTCTCCACTTGGAGCATGGCTCGAGAGAACTCATCTGAAATAGATATTTCCATTGCCAGGGGGATTTATTGACAAAACTAGCCATCTATTAACATTATCTGGGGACTCTGCTCTGGGGAGAATAGACACTATAAATCTTAGTTGTGTGGAAACTCAGGAGCTAGAAGGCTTTAGTGGACAGCAGATAGAAACTCCAATGAGTTCAGACCTGTTTATTTTACTTAGAGGGAAAGAACATTCTGTACCCAGCCAGGCAGGAAATGGCTTTTGGGGACGGCCACTTAGCCTAGCTGCTGGCCCTGAAACTGTGGGAGTAATCGCTCCCTGCAATTAGAGCAGGCGGCTCAAAGAACCATATTTTGTAATCAGTGATGGAAGCCTCTGGAACTTGGGGCCTGAAGCTTGAAGAAAGTATCCCAGAATCTGCTGGGAAGGAAAACCCACATGTCAAGCTGTGAGTGCAGGTTCCAGTGTCTGGTGACTAGGTCCCCGTGTCCAGTCACGTACGGCATTCTAGTGCCTCGGTATGGTTATCATTGAATCTCTTTTCTCTCACCATCCTCCTGGTGTCGATGGCCGATGACACGATTCTCACCCAGGACTCTCTGTTGCTCAACCTTCACAAAAAATCAGACAATGCAGCTGCCTAGCTTGTCTCCTAGAACAGGAGAATCTCTGAGGTGTCACACCTGAGTGTGGGCAGTGAGAGTTGAACCCATGCATTCAGTCCCTGAGGGACTGCAAGTGACCTTCCCTTTAGCGGGGCATAGAACAGAGCACGGCACATGAGCACAGGTGCCACTGATGGCTGACTGGTCACCTTGGCTAGGTTCTCACCTCTGTGCCCTAGTTGAATTTCCCTACAAAATGGGAAAATTATGGGCTCCAACCTGTGGTCAGTGTGCTATCCTATCTTTCATTTGCTTTCGTCTTGGCATTGGGGAGGGAATCCAGGACCTTAGTCAGGGTAAGCTAGTGCTCTGTCACTGAGTCACACCCCTAGCCAGGTAGAATTCTACAGTGGGTTTTATCTTAATTCCCCAGGATGTTGTCAACCCCCCACCCCCAACTCCATGTTTTTCACAGTAGAAATTTGTCACTTTCCATTTCTGGCGCCTGAGATGAGAAGTCACAGTACTGTCAGGTGATGCTCTCTGGGGCTCTTGGGAGGGTCTGATTCAAGTCTGTTTTTCTGAAGGTTTTGGCATAGTGGGCTGGCTATCTTTAATGTCCTTTGGTATATAGACAGACACATTCTAATCTTAGACATTCAGTGGCTCTGCATTGAGGACCCTAGGATGTGAGTGTCTCCTTGAAGATCAACCAGGCTCTGTATGTGCTTTACTCTAACCCAGAAAGAACCCAGGGCTACCCACTTGTATGTCGGTCACCTCATGGACCTTTGTATCTAATGTGCTCTGGGAAGTGCACACAGGTTACCAGGGCTGATGCAGGATAGCGCCATCCCTGTAGATAGTGGGTGGAGGGCACCTCAGCTCCACTTGCAAATACACAGGATGCTACTTGAACCCAAGAGTCCCATTTGGTCTTGCATACCTGCTCTGGAGAGAAAACAATGACCTTCCTTGCATGGTCACATGCTCAGTCTAGAACCAGCTCAGGACTTCACCGGTCATTTCTATAGAGCCTCCTGGAAGGTTTCTACAGAGCCTTTATGTGCCAAGCCAGTCCCTAGATGGCAATGCCACGAGTCCATCCTTTGGAAATGTCAAGAAAGGATCCTTCAAGCCCTTGACAAGTGCCAGAAGATTTGAATAAAAACTGCAGTTGCTTTGTCCTTCAGTACCGGGACTGTTCTTTGCCCTTCTCCCTCCTGGCACAAAGCAAGACAGACATCAGAAGGCAGGGGAGCCAGCTGCTGACTGAGCCTCAGTTTCCCCATCACAGGGAGCCAGGCCTTCCCTTTCGGAAATCTCAAGGTCACTCTCAAGTCTATCTTCCTCCTTGTGAGAAATGAATGTGCCCTTTCCCGGGTGAGGGGTGATTCAGAGAAAGGCGGCAATAATTAATATTGATGATGCTTCAAATGTTAAAACTTAGAATTAAGTTTAAAAAAAAGGACAGGGTCACATGTAACCAATTAAACAGCGACTTGTCTGTGGCCTCATGCCCACTTTGGGGGCAGAATGGTCCTCATTCTGCTCTGCCAATTAATCTCCCCTCACCTTCTTTGCTGGGAGCTGAGCTGTCTGCAAATTGAAGGGAAAGGAGACACCGGCCAGTCGCAGACACATAGACCATCTCCCGTTGTGCAAATGCCAGGGAGGAGGAAGCGTCGATCAATTTGCAGAGCCGAGACTGCAGACGGCCCTGGGAGGAGAGGCGGCTGCGCCGTGCCTGGGTGCGGGTGTGAGAATTAATGAAGGCGAGATGAAAGTACGCGGGCATTTGAGATGAAGCCCAGCGGGTTACGAGGGTTCAGGATGAATTTCA